CGGGTTTTTTAAATTCACTCAGGTGGGGGTAGGTGATTAGGAAGTCCCTTTTTGCAGGCACCCATCTGTTTCTCATAGATTCCTATATAAGCTACAGAATCAACTCCTTGTATCCCCCTTAATAGCCCTGTAATCATCCCCAATATAACCCTCTTTATGCAGTTTAGGCAATGGCTTATATCAAGGCGTCTCCTTTCTCAACCTCCTATCGGACAGGCCCTCAATGGCAGCTCCGGGTCGAAAAGCATCAAACATAAACCCTAAAACGCTGAAGCCCTCAGCTTCTAAACCTCTGAACCCTAAATCCCCAAACCCTAAACCTCTAAGCCCTGAACCCTAAACCTCAAAGCCCTGAACCCCAAAGCGCCTTGGTGTCCAGCTCAGTATAGATCACCCACCAGCCACGGAAATTGTTGTAGAACACCAGATTCCCTAAGGATGCTCATGGGTTAGAGCTTGGGGTTTACAGGGTTCAGGGTTCGGGTTATAGGCTTAAGGTCTATAGGGTTGAGGGTGAAGGGCTGTTTAGGGTTTCTAGGGTTTTGGGTGCAGAGAGCATGGGGTTTCGGGCTTTGGGCAAACTCAGGGGGTTGAAGTTCGGGGGCTGAGAGCTCAGGGCCGCTTAGACACGTGGTTTAGGGTTTAGGGTTTCGGGCTTTTGAATCAATATTGGGGTAATATAGAGGCTATAGAGGGATAATGGAAACGAGAATGGAAACTACTATAGTATATTGGGTTTACAGAGGGGTAATGGAAAAGAAAATTGAAACTACTGTAGTATATTGGGCTTATATAGGGATAATGGAAAAGAAAATGGAAGCTACCCTAGTATACTATATACTATATTATGCTGACTGGTGGTCAGTCGGGAACGAAGGCATGGATCCCTAGAAATTGATCACAATATTCCGTAAATCGTGTAGTCGTCCTAATGCAGCCTACTTTCCTCCGTCCCCTACTCACCAGTGGTAAGCTTAACGCACCACAACCGCAACCATCAAGATTTACATAAACCATCATAAGCCCTAAACCCTAAACCCTAAGCTGCACTGTGCAGCCTACAGGGCCGCCCAAAATCCAGACTGCCCATTCTGCCTCCGAGCATATACGGACCCCCCAAAAGAAAAGGGCCACTAAATTTTGGAAACCCTGACATTTGCACTGATATCTTTATATCTCCTACTTCGTAGAGGCAGACTCCATGGAGGTTTGTAGGGCTTAGGGTTTACCTCTACATTACCTACAGCTTTATAGGGTTTTACCTACAGAAAGCAGATAGGGGTTTGGGGTTTACGGCGACTTAGGGGACTGAGGCCGGAGTCTAAGCTCCAGGACTTTGTAAGGGGATAGCGGCTCCCCTACGGCACCCACTTCTCAAAGAGAGGTACTGGATAAAGAAGTAGGCTGCCTGTTTAAGGGGTATGACTATTTCATTTCATAAACAGGGTACTCATGCAAGTCTTTGGAGGCTTTTTTGCACACCGCATTGATGAGCAGGGCAGTATGGTGGCGTGAAACTCGTCCAGGGAAGTGCACACCATCCTCGCAGGGGAGGAGGCGGGGATATGGGGTGCGGACTCATTTGAATAAAGGACCTCAAAAGACCGGCCCTGATTCAAGTAGGACCTAAACTAGATCCTAAAAGGAGAAACTTCAGAGCCTCCTACTCTGTTCCAAAGCTCCTCCAACACCGAACGTACGCAAAGCAGAAACACTGGCAATCAGCACGACAGGTGTGAGGAAACAAGTGTGCGCAAGGAGGGTGATAATAATGCTACAAGAATGTAGACCACAAACCGTTATCACTTTCATCCGTCTGCACTCCATTGGTACACACATTTACATATATATATATATATGTATACATATATATATATACACGCGCGCACTACGCAGAATGTAGCCCACAACCCCATTCGAATTGTTCCAGACCCTAACCCACGTCAATAGCAGGTCGACCTTCGGCTCAAAAACTCCTTTGCACTGGCTAAGCCCTAAGCCTATTCCTTGAGTAGATAAAATATGGGGCATATGGGGATCTTGTTATAATATACCCAAAGCCATATTCTATCTACTTAGGGGGACTATGAACCTTGATGTAGGAACCTACATGACCAAAATTGGAATGACACGGAAAAGAGCGTGGAACATTACGGGAAATATGATGTATGTACGGGCTTCTATTGGGATTGAAGGCTGGGGGCCTCTAGATGATGAGCACAGAACTGCCGGGGTACACTATACACTATACTAGAATCTTACAAGGTTATAAGCTAAAACCCTCAACCCTAAACCATTGCGGTTAAAACCCTTCCTCCCCAAGCTAGAGCCTCTCCAGGTCATCAACCCCACAGCCCTTCTTCATCCCACACGGCTTAGGGTTTAGGGTTTAGGGTTTAGGGTTTAGGGCCCAAAAAGACCTCGGGATCAATCATTACCAGGGTCCTTAGCAACCCAGGAGCATTAGGGGGATGGGGAACCAAAACAGCCAATAAACCCCCACCGTCCGGCGAGTCTTCAGGATAGAGAAGGCCTTGGATCATGCATGTATTGTTTAGGGTTAGGGATTCGTTTTTTTAGTGGATGACGGTTGATAGGGTTTAGGGGTTCGATTTTTGGGGATGAGGGGGTTTAGGGGTTTAGGGACTCGGGTTTTTGGGGATAAGGGTTTAGGGATGAAAGGGTGTGGGCCGTGTGGGGATGAGATAGAGTTTTGCTATAGAGTTTAGGGATTCGGGTTTCGCTTGCTTTTTTTTCAGCGGCCTTTTCCGGCTGCATGGAAGACTCCAGGTCGGCCGGACAATCGTTGCGGGTTGTCGCAAGTGATTTCACATGAGCAGCACGGGCGCAAAGTATGGCTCAAAAACGAAGGTTGCAGGATGCGGGGTCAAGTTGTTTCATTGTTCTGCATTCCAAGTATGCCTGACTGGCTTTCGAAGCCAAAGGCTTGGGATGGAAAACAAATTCTCAACCTAGACCCTCCTCCTACCCTCTATTAGGGCCTAAGTACCTACTGTTAGGGACCAGAAGTCCCCAATTAAGGGTACAAGGAGGGTCCAGGAACACAGACCTGCGAAGACAACATCTGAAAGGCTTCAGCAGCCATAGTCCATCTATCATCGCAGGCTTTCAAACTGGGACTGGGAGCAGTCCGTATGCTGTCGAAACACAAACATGCTACTGTAGAAGCCTCAAACACAAACATGCTACTGTAGAAGCCTCAACCAATAAGTGCCTATAGCAACCCCTGCATAAAACGCTTCCTTGATGTTCCATATTCGTTTCCACTGACGTCTCCAATAATTTCTATATATTTCACAGGCACCTACATCACGCTGAACCCTGAAACCCAAACCTGAAGACCTAAACCCCATGATGCTGCTCAGAGTCCGCTGCTGAAGGTGTCAATGACCTCAATGCCCGCCTGACGCAGCAGCGGCGCCTAGGATGTATAAGGCTTATAGGGGCTGAGACGTTTACATATGTAGGGTTTGGGTTGACAGGAAGAATGTTTTGTTTGACTGAAATGGGGTCCCTAAACCCTAAGCCCGTGTGACTCTGTGCGACCGCGAACTTCTAGGTCAAACGGGGCATGAAAACCCTATGAACCCAATAACGCTCCCAGCCTATGAATAATACGTACGTGAGGCCCTGAAGAAATAGATACCACCTACGTTGGGTTATGTAGAGCCCTAGGGGAAGCTTGCACCCCTAAACTCTGAACCCCAAACTCTAAACCCTGAAACCCTAAACCCTGAACCCCGACACAACCCGTTTTGTTCCTCCACGCCCGGCTTGCGCGCGTGCATGGAATGCCTCGTAGGCTGCCGTGGCATCTTCTTTGGATGCTCCGGCCAGCTCCTGGGTGTAGGGTTTAGGGTCTAACTGTAGCTGTAGGTATTTGGAGTTTCAGGTGGTTTAGGCTTCTGAGGCGCTCAGTGTGCAGGAGGATTTCCAAGAGTAGAGCTAGCCAGAGGCTTGGGAAATTTTGCAATCACAGGTGAAATTTTGGTACCCATGAAAGGGGGTTAGGGTTTAGGGTGGGGATATGCCAGAATGGCTTACCAGGATCCCCAATAACCTACAAAAAGTGGGAAGATAGCCGACGTTTATAAGGAAGTTAGGACACCACAAATGGGAAAATTGTCTTACTCAACAGCCCTGAGTTATGTGGAGACTGTTTTGGAATGTACCAAAATTGGACTTAGGCGATTCCAGGCTCAAGAGCTGCGGGCTGGGCCTGGCGGCGACCAATCAGATTGTAGCAATCAGACTGTTACCTAGCTAGAACTTACTGGATTGTTACCTAACTATTACTTAATGGTTGTTGGTAGGGAATGAACCATATCAGGGGACCAAGGCGGCCCATAGTTGGGTTACAGGTACAAGTATACTTGGGTTCCAAAACAAAATTGCCAAGGCTCTGCTCTTTTCACCAAGTCCATCTCCCACTCACGGCCGAAGGTCGCACCATCAGCCCACGAGAAAGTATCCTCCGCAAGAATCGTCTTACATCTTCTGGGTAACGTCCATACCATTCTGCAAGATGTTCATACTACAAACCCAAAAGGTCTATGCAGCCATGTATATAGAATACTTACATATACCGGAACCCCCTTTCGGGGCCCATTGATCCTACTACAATGTCTACATGGACCCTTTGGAAGCAGATGCAAATATTTTGTCCGTTTCTTCTCTATCCTATTCCTAGAGGTTCCAAATACTCCCAGAATGAGGCTTCAAGAAGGCCTATTCCCTAAACACTGTATTTATCACAGGGCAAACTAAAATAATTTCAATTCCCAATTCAAAGCCATTATAGTACTATTCCCTATATACACCGCCATTTAGGGTGAGGTCGGGTGAGGTCGCTTCAAACTGCCCAGTAATGAACCTTTATTGAAAGGCGCGTAGCCGGCGGCATGGCGGGGAAGCTCTCCGCAACCCAGGTGGACAGTTGCTCTTTGGTCCACATCTTTGGCTGTACCTCAGATTGTTCTGCGGGGGGTTTTGGGGATAAGTACCTGGACCCCAAGAGAAGGTAAAATCATAGCCCACAACCTTGACAAATAGCCCAAGCCATTGTTCTACATACTTGTGTGGCTTCAGGCAGAGGGTTCATGGGGGCTGTGGGATCGGGGTTAGGGAGTTGTGGGGGCTCCAGGCCTAGGAGTTTTTGTTGGGGTTTCGGGCTCGAAAGAATTCACGGTCCTTGCTTCGGTGTGGGCCAGAGGCTGAGCCTTCATTGCATCTTCTACCAAACTTTGTCAACCAAATTTTCTAGCTTTCCCAAGTTCTTCTTATACCACCCCTAGAATTATGGAGTCACAAGTCACAAGTACACTCTAGACTTGGATGGCTTACAAAAGCCAACCATTTTGATCTCTCTCCCTTACATTTTTCATAAGTATGTTACACCATGCCACAGAACCCAATTCCAATCATTCATGTCCCCGGTTCGGTTTAGGGTTTAGGACGATCTTTCCCACAAAGACCTGCAAGATGTCTGAGAACCACATGGAGAGCATGCGAAGTAGGAATATTACGGAAAGTAGCGCTGTCAATAAAAGTAAAATAATGCACTACAGGAAACTCCCGGTTATCACTTGGGATTTCCCAACCTAGGTGCTATGTAGGTTCTGACCTTCAACGTTCCTTCCCCAAGCCCCAGTATCTTCAACAACACCCCTAAACCCCAAGCCCAGAATCGCATGCCAGCTTGAAAAGAGTTTCAAATTTCTATGGTGCTAGAACCAAATACGGAACACAAGAAGTATCGTTTCAGGTCTTGGTCAAGTCGCCAAGATCGCTAAACCTGATTTGAATGGTACCCCACTGAAGAACCAAACGAACAATTTCGCCTTCTGCCAGGGCATGTTCCGCCGCTGCTGCGCAAGCCCTGCCTCCGGAAGCTTCATTTTGGATTTCTTTGCTGAGGGAGGTTTCGGCTTGGCAAAGAAAATGGAAGACTATTGGGCTGACTACCTAGACCCTCCTCCTACCCTCTATTAGGGCCTAAGTACCTACTATTAGGGACCATATGTCCCCAATTAAGGGTACAAGGAGGGTCCAGGTAACATGGTTTTATGGAGGTTATATAAGGATGATGGAAAAGAAAATGGAAACTGCCATAATGGGATTGTTTTGTGTTAGGGCTGGGAAAAGGATATGGCAATTACCATCTTACATGGTCGGTTGAGGAAGTGAAAAAGGAAACGGGGCATGACAAAGCCCCGTAGCTTAGGGCTTACAGGACTTGAACATCTACATTATGCGGTGGTTTGGCAGAGAAATGTGAAACTACATCTTTCTCCCAGGGTTTTTGGGTCTCAGGATGTCTCAGGTTTAGGCTTTACTGGTCTTTAGCAGGAAATTAATCGGGGTTTTAGGATTCAGGGGACAGCAGTTGCGCGCTGTGCTTTGTTTCCGGCGCAGCTCTATCTATTTCAGAATTCCCTGTTGCAAATCGTGTTGCATGGCCCCTGTAGTGAAAAATGGGTGAAGTTGCCGGCATAACAGTCTCGCAAAAAACCTCATCTCCATTGCCGCAGGAGCCCGCTCCCAACCCCTCTGCAAATTTCAAGCAGGCAAGCCACGCCCTAAACCCCAGACCCTAAACTTACATGTTGAAATCCTGCACACTAATTCGACGCTAAACTCTGAAATCTCGGACCCTAATTTGGCGGGCCTTGACAATCTCGCCTGCATGGGAAAAAGTGTGCAGGGAGTGGCCAAGCTGCCTGACAGATTGGTGGCCGTCAGCTTCGGTTTAAAGGTAAGTACCCATTAAGGGCTTACGCAAGGGCTCCAGTGTAGTTCCTTTTTGGGCTTGTTACCGGTTTTGGGTAAGGGATTATAATATACTACCCAAAAAGGAACTACATAGGAGGGTCTGGGTAGGGTTTAGGATATGTAGGAGTATATATATAGAGAGAGAGAGAGAGATATATATATATAATGCTTGTATAGGGGTATATACGGGCATATAGGTTAAGGGCTAAGGGTCCAAGATTGTATATTGGGATTTGGGGAATATAAGAACCGTAATGCAGATTTTGAGGAGCTATGTGAGCTATAGTGAAAACTCCTAGTATCCCCCTTAATCACCCCTTTAATGCTCCCTCGTATAATTCCCTATGTAAGCCCCCGGTTAAAAGAGTTTCGACACTAGCTCATATGATTATGGGGTACTTGGACCCTTAGAGACAGTGTAGCCCTAAAGTCTGCTCCGATTGGTCGAAATTTCAAGTGGTTAGGGTTTAGGGTTTAGGGTCTAAACTCCTCGAAGGGGGTTAAATGGGAGATTCTATAGGGGAGTATTTTAAGGGTTACGAAGGGGGATACTACGATTTTAGACTATAGCTCAAGTGAATATGTTCCCATATCCCACCGGCAAGTTACCTGTTCCACTGACACAGGCTTGAAGGAAAAGGTGTGAAAGAAAAGCCGCTGTGGCCCCAACCCAGAATACTGATCAGCCGAGCAAGCTCACAAGTGCCAATATCGTATAATCCCAGAGAAAACCATCAGCGCACCCGATGTAATTTTCGGAAACTAGAAAGCGCCTGCTGCAGGGATGCACATGTGCGATCCAAACGATCTGCTGACTCAGAGACTTTGTCAATACACACTCCAGCAGCCTTTCAAAGGGTGACGGCGGGGTTGGTAGTGGGTGTACATGGGCACTTGTAGCATCTTCCACGGAGGCAAGGGGTCATAAATGATTGACAAGGCTTTGGAAAGGCAATATGCATTTGTGCTTCGGAAGCAGGACTTTTGCTGTGGCACTGCCAGAAAACACTTGAATGGAAACCTAGCCGAGCGCAACCCATGAAGTGTTCAAAGTCAACACGCAAGAGCAACACTCATGACACTGCTTGGCTTAAACGTCTGTACGCGTTCTGAGCAAGAAAAAATCTCGTTTAATTCGACTCTGACAAAGGTTATGTCGACTGATAGCTTTTGTTTTAGACGTTGGCTGCTGCACATGATGGTACGATGTACTGAACCATGAGGACCGTTTTCTGCCCTTGCAAACTCTCGAACAAGCATGATCTTACTGCCCTCTCTGGCCCCTTTGCTCATGCATGGTTTCCTCTTTAATTAACTATCTTACTATCCAACATGCCAAACCTATGCAATCCCTGGACCCTCCTCGAAACAGTGGTGTGCAGGCCTTGTCAACGGGGTGCGGCGCAGCGGAACATGCGAGGAGCCGTCGGCCACGTGGCGGACGCACTCGTGCAGGCAAGCGAGGGACCAATTGATGGCCTTGGCCTGTTTGGATCGACGATGTGGGAGCGAGAGACGAGAGACTAGCCCCCGCCGCTCCAAGTCTACAAGCAAAACATACTTTGGGCCCTGCAGTCTACAGGTATCACCTAGATCGGGCTACTTGGAGCTGTAGGGAAAGTAGGGTGAGGGCTTGGTGGAGAGAGGTACTGGACTGGAGGCTCACCGCGCTCTAAACCCGAACTGGGAAAGTCTCGTGTCTTGAGGTTCCTCAGCAACCCCTGAATCGTCATAAAGGTACCCTTTTCCCCAATATTCAGCTTTAATAAGGACGCCCGAAAATGCACAGGGAAAACGGGGACTGCTGGGGTACCGAGTTCTAGAGAAGCGAACAAACAGCCCAACATGAGCCTAAACGGACGTTTGCTCCAGCACTTCATGGACCCTTAGGCCCTTGGGCTCCAAATACTTCGCGCACCGAGAAGCCTCTAAGACCAGACCTAAGAATAACAGTGAAGTTAGCTCGCTGTCTCTGGCAACCTCAGTCATTATAGCTCTCATCTGTTTTGATGTAGCCACGGGTCATAAACGTCTTCTGCTCACCAGTCTTAAAGCCTGGGACTCTTATAGCCTGTAAAATTAATTGCCAGAATATCGTGGTCCTGAATCCCTTTCTCCCCAAAAAGACGAAAGGCACACAAATGCAAATAATGCACAAACAACCTATACCCAAGAAATATAACATAACCCTTATAAACTATAAACCAACAACTCCCGCAGCCTCAAAACCCCAACCCCTAGCACACTGAAGCCCTGCAACCGAGAAAAAAAATACATAAAGATCGAAAACCACAAAAGGTAGTTTCCCTGGATAGGGGTACCCCTAAACACCAGAATCCTTCTTATGGGGAATCCCCGGAATGTAGGCCCTTATTTTGGGAAACCCTAAACCCTATATACCCCTCTCTATGTATGTGGTAGCCCCTATATAACCCTTTAGAGGCACCCCTAAGTTTGGGAAACCCCCAACACCGCGTAGCCTCGGCCAATTGCTTGCCTGTGTGCTCGCGCCGGTCCGAAGCTCTCTCGGACCCTGCCAAGTCCACGAGTGTGACCTGGGGATTTTGGTCAACCTATCCTACCTAAGGTCGAAGCCATGGGCCCCTGTATGGGCCCTTAATCTTGGGAACCTTATATACCTACTAGATACCCCATATTTACGCTTAAGAACCCCTAGAATCCGCCTAAAACAATGTATCTATGAGAAGAGGGAGTAATACCTGACACTTGGTTCTCTTCCTTTTTTTTGTAAGAGTCTAGGTAGGCCTTTGGGGTTGCAGGCGTTAGGGGTTTACGGCTTCCGGGTTTTGCGGTTCAGGATTAGGTCTTACGGTTTGAAGGGTTTGAGGTAATGGGCTTCAGTGTCTCACGGTTTAGGATTTCAGGGGGTCTTGTTTTTTGGGGTTCAGGGCTAAGGGTTGCGGGGTTCAGGTCCTTTAGCTGGATGGAGAGTTTCGGGCTTTACGGATTGGAGTTTAGGGATAAAGTTTCAAGATGCGCCGTCTTAACAATAACGAGGGCGATGGGACTTGTTTGTTGGGGTTCTTCCGGCGCTGCTCGCGTAAAAGATTGCTGCAGCAGACTGAAGGAATTGCCAAATTCATAATTCCGTCTCAGGGTTGGGGAGGCGTTCCTGGCATTCAAGTATACACAGGTTGCCGATTTTAACAAATCCGCGCCTGCAAGTGATCCGTCCGCATGATGCAAACCAAGTGGGTGCGCGAGGAGAGAGGGCTTTTCTCCTTACCCAGAGGGTCCATGTACCCAATAATTAGGTACTTGGGTTTTGGGTAATAGTAATTGTAGTACAGGTTTTGGGGAAGTATATGATTATTAGGTACTTGGACCCTTAGGGTTACTTCCCCAGCTTCCGCTCTGAAGCCCACGGGTTGCTTTACCCAAGGGCTCCAGTGTAGTTCCTTTTTGGGTCTGTTATGGTTTTTGGGTAAGGGATTATAATATACTACCCAGAAAAGAACTGCATAGGAGGGTCTGGGTAGGGTTTCGACGCATTGCGGAGCCGATGCAACATGAAAGAACCCCTGCTGACCCCAAAATAACATAACCTTGTCTCAAGCTTTCACTAGCCACTCTGTACTGAGCCCTAGGCATGGAGACGAATCTAAATTGTTGGATCCCTTGGATCCGTGAATGGGTTTGCAAACCTCGTCCTGACGAGGACGGCAACAAGATTCGTTCCGCTCAAGCAGTCCCTTTTAATATTCTTCTGGTAGTTTCCATAAATTCGGGAATCTCAATATACATTTAATATATGCCCTAAAAAATTACAATCCGCATTATGGGTACACTATGGGGGCCCTCAGAAACCTGTCAAGATCTAAGTTGGACAACCCCCTCAACTAAAATGGAATTCCGAAAAGGGCCAAGAAAGACGACCAGCCTTTAAGCACAAGCTTCTGGCATTCCATGTTACCCTAGGTCACAGAATCCCAAAGAAAGCACTTATGCCTGGAGTTTAGGCCCAAATGGGTACTATTTGTAGACTTTGATCATTAGGGTACATTTGGGGGAGACTAAACCCCAACCCTAAGGGTCCAAGGACCAACATTGGGCCCCAACCCACATATCTGGGTCCTGGGAACCGTACGGCCATGTTGCATAAACCCTAAACCCTGAAATCCCTAATCCCAAAACCCTACTTCCGAAACCCTGAAGCGTAATCCCTATACTCTACTTAATCCCTAAACCCTGAATCCTGAATCCCCGCACCCTAAACCGTGTACCCCAAGATTTTCCAAGCTTCAGTGGTGTCCGTATGCCTGGCCTGGTTAGCCTGGGACAGTTGCGCCTCCAACTCCAAAACGGTGCGCACCTCCATTTAGGGGTTTCCCAAAATTAGGGGTACCATTTTGGGGGTCCATAATAAGGACTATAGTATTTAGGGGTCTATATTGGGGTCCCCTTGTTTCGGGAAACTACCATTTAGGGGCTCAGTTTAGTGAGTAGGGTTTAGGGACTATAGAGTTTAGGGTTGAGGGATGCGGGCTTCAGGGGTATGGTTTGGGGATTATAGGGCTTATAGTGATTAGGGGATAAGGGATTAGGGTTGAGGGATTAATCTCGGCTGTGAAGGTTTGTCGGGATTACACTATACATGGTTTACATTGAGGGTTTTAAGGGCTTAAAGGGATAATACACTCTTCATAGGGTTAAACACATGGAAAGGAAGATGGACAATGCAATGGATACTGGGTTTAAAAAGAGATTTTTCCATGCGTACAAATGCTAATTATCAAACATGGTCTGAGTTATGTTTGAGGTGCCCTACACTGTATTTCTACAAGGAAGCTAGGAGCATGATATTGGTAGCTAGCTAAGCCCCTACAGTTTGTTGTCAAAAGCTGGTATAATAAAGCCTCTAAAACTTAGGATACTCTACATTTTGATAACCTTCCACGCATGTGCCATGCCCTGTGACTGGTTCCTTGTTGGAAGGGTACTGCTAAACCTTATTGCTCTATATTCCTTGTTTCCACAATAACTGGTTGCTGGTGCAATAAACATGAACAGCGTTTTTCAACTATTCAATAATGACCCAGGTGAGAGATTTAGTCTGCTTGCATATTGAACCCTTCCTTATCCTGCTTAGCCGCATGACACAAACGACTTAGAAGTCGTCGACTCGTCATCCTAACCTACAAAAAAAAAGCCCCAAAGTCTCAACCTCACATGCGCCATTGTCTAGACTCCTAGTATCCTTCTTAATTAAACAAATACCCTTCAAGGAGTTTAGACTACAGCTCATTACGGCAGTGAACTGCGTCTCCAAATCACCTTGTAGAAAGGCAGGCAGTCGTACAAGCTCCCGGAGCCCTCCTGTAGCAGAGCAGTTAATGTAGGGACGCGGTTGATTAAAACGGGCTTTGGTAGTTAGCGTTCTTTAAGGTTTAGGGTTTAGGGTTTTGGAAGGTTATGGTACTGCTACATGGCTAGCAGGGAATACTACGGATAAGTCTACAGCCTACAGTGTTCCGGAGACTTCTACATATGCGCGTTGCGCCCGGGGCGCAGTCTGATTAACATCTTGTGTTCAAGGGCCTAGGGTACATTCGTAAGTTCCGCGATTCTACGTTCTGTACTGCAGCAAAACGTGCACTTGTCACAAGACACTGAAACCAAAAAGCGAAACACGTTTCGAATCTCTAGTCCGAACAGGAGCCATCCTAGTATGGTGCCGCACCTGAAACATTTCTGAAAGCCATCGTTTCGCTCAGTACTTCTCTTGAGGCAGACATGGGCAGAACAAACACACACCCGCAAATAAACAGAATAACAGTGACATTGAGAAAAAAAAACACACAGCAAACAACATAAATGCTTCAGGCATAAACATGCCTAGGGCCAAACTATACTGTTAGCCGCGAGCGCCTAAATGCAAGAGGGACCCTGATATCAACAACGAAACAACGATGACGACCATGAACAACACAAAAGATACCAGTTGACAGCCTAGCTTGTGTGACCTTGTACAAAACTAGATCCTGAATATGTTTCGCAAGAAGAAAGCCAGGATTCTGTGAACACTAACAGATATGCCCTTTCCGGGGCGCGTGGCAAGTGAGAAATGTGCCTGTGCCCTCCACAGCTTAATAGCTCCAAAGTCCTCTGACATAGATTAAGTTCTGGTGAGCAATTCTACATACAACGATAGTTCGCCAGCCCCTTATTAACGGGTTGACAGCACAAAGCTCCCTTACGTACATCAAATTGGGAAATAAGTGTGCTAGGAATTCTGTGACCTCAAGTCAAGCCCAAGGTCCCTCAATGTACATGAGCTGAGGGGTTTGGAAAAGATGGAACTCTTCGGAGCCCCTCAACGAAGCAGGCATTATACGGAGAGTGTGGCCGGTCCCCATTTGGGAGTTTGTAAGTTTTGTTTTGCGTCTCTCAACTACCTGCAATATAGGAAAGACGTACCTACGCACATCAGAAGTTCCTACTACAGAGGCATGACCCTAAACATAAAACCCTAAATCCACTTTTGCTAAATAGGTACTTTGGACCCTATAGGACCCTAAGGGTCCAAGTACCCAATAATCATATACTTACCTTAGACCTATACTAGAATTACTATTGCCCCAAACTCAAGTACCTGATTATTGGATACTTGGACCCTCTGGAATTCCTAAACCCTATAAAGCCCAATTGTAGGAGATTCCATGTTCTTTTCCATTATCCCTATAAAACCCTATACCTTGAACCCTTAGGGGTGACTTCCTGCAGGATAACCGCAGGGTTCGAAGAGGGTGGCGCGAGCAGATCGGAGCAACTTTCAAGCACTTCCACCTCTCCCAAGGGGCTCATGTAGCTCTATAATTTAGGGTTTGGGGTTTGGGGTTTAGGATTTGGGATTTGGGGTTTAAGGTCCAAGGTTTCGGGTTTGGGGTTTAGGATTTGGGGTTTAGGGTTTGGGGCTTAGGTTGAGTGTAGGAATATAGTGTAGACTTGGGCTCTGAAATACGTATATGGAACCCCTTCTACACCCTCAGTATATACTATATACCTACATGGACCCTTTGGGTCTTTTGTCTCGGACAAGGCTCTCACATAATTATGGAAAGTGAACTTGGGTTTCAATAGGGATGTAAAGGGTTAAGGATTGTTTAAGGTTGACATGGACCCTTCATGTCCTTCCTTTGTAAGATTCTGTGGGCTTTTATAAGGCATGTTCCAAAAACAGGACAGGCGGGGTCCAGGTCGGGTGTCCTCTTTTGTTTGAAATGGAGGTTCTGTCCCGGGATTCCTATAGAAAAGACTACATTTGTTGGGGGGGAAGCGGGGCTGCGTTTTTGTACTTCCCGAAGCCCCAAACCCCAAACCCTTAACCCTGATTATGAAGGGAACTCTAGGGATCCACTCCAAAATCGCGTGCTATGCATCAGTGAGGTGTCTCGCATGAGCAGTGTTATTGGTCTGTCAAACCAAGCAAAATGATTTCCTTTCAAAATTAAAAGGCCGCAAAAGGAGAGAATCCTACTTACCCTATATTTGGGGGATTGGGTCCGTGTGATGTTAAGGCTGGCAAGCGGCCATGCTGACTTGAAGAACCCCTGGGCCATCAGGATCCCCATTCTCTGGCAGGGATTTCAGCAACTCAGCGCCCACAGCCTGGGTGGTAGTTCTTGCTCTGGGGGGGCACTGCTGGGGGCCGTAAGATAGAAGGGGCAAAGAATCAGATGGACAATAGCATAGAAAAAATGATATGATAAAGGGGATCGTATATGGGGCTCACACGGTTTCTTCTCCAGGAGATGGGCCCTCTCTGGTTATAGATCATATTGCGGCACCTAATGTTTAGGGGTACCCAAATAAAACCCTAATCTTGGGACTTACCCAAATAATTACCACCATCATGCTGAGGTTTGTTTGAGGTTCTCCAAGCCACAGCTATGTTTAGGGCTTAAGATAAAGGATTCTAGGACCATAATATCTTTGTGTAGGCCCCCACATTGTGGGGAAAGTGCTGCTGTAGGTTGAGGGTTTAAGCTGTTCGTGAACCACAAAGTGGTGGAGTTAGCTGTCTACTTCTCTGCACTTTCAGGGTGTATAACTTAAGCCCGACCTCAGCCAAAATGCCGCCAAATCCGGCACTGCAGTCCTTGATCTAGCTACAACCTGTCAGTCTTGACCCAGAGGCACGCCCAAACCAGGGAAATCGGGAACATGGAGCCCTCCACCATACGTACATCTTTTCCAAGTTTCAGGACGCCCAAAATCAAACGGAACACATTTCCAACAAGGCCTGATGCTGCACGCTTGTTCAGAGGGGCCTCATAGAGCTTACACTTTCACGTTCGCTGTGAAGCTCAGCGGCTTTTTGCAACCGTTGCTGCCAGAAGGTCTTGCCTGTGCCCGTAGCCCCGTAGGAGATGGCTGCAGACTGATACTTCCTCACGTCCAAGGATGAAACTTGGGCTCCTTGTGCTGGGGAGTTTACTTTGTTGGGGTTGTTTTGGGGTAATGGAAAAGAAAATGGAAACTACTATAATGGGTTATATAGGGGTTATATAGGGGTTATATAGGGGTATGTTAGTAGTTTGTAATTAAAAGTCTTACTCCAGCGTTTGGGACTTATGCACCTAGTTCAACTACTTCTCTCGCTGCGCGGCCCTTGTGCAATGAGCTTCAAGGGAACACGTACAACAATGTACTGTTTGGCAGCCAGGTTCTCCGTGCTCTCTGGAACCAGCAGAGAGACCACCTTCTCCTTGCCGCAGGAACAACTCCAGGTAGGTTAGGGAACAATGAGAACAACCAACCCGTATAAGGGGCCTCACGCACCGCGGAATTGCGATTCTCGGAGTCCTAGACATTATAAGTTAGAAGTATATCGTGCTCGGGCTTGGGGCAGGGCACGAGGCCTGTCACAACGTGGTTTGGCACAGCTTGCGCTATCGCTCTTGGGGCATTCCCGCTTCTCTTTCCAGTTGAGAGATGGTGTCTACCAGACAGACCAGACAGTGTCCCGCTGAAACTCCCGAAAACGTTGAAATTTGAATGCATGAGCCATTCCTTTGGAATGAATGTTTGCGGAAACCTGCATTGCACGCTTCAGTTGCTTCATTTGCCGAAGCAGCAAGAATTTCTCGTCACTGGATGCTATATGTGACCCCGCGCGCAGGACAACCAAATAGTATCCTCCCTGAAGCAAGAAGGAGATTTTGGCTTCCCAACAAGGACCCTAAAGGGTCCTGTTATTCTTAATTACAGGGGCTCCTACTTGCCTCATCATAAACCAAAATGGATCCGGCCTAGTTCTTGCAGCTTCTCCTCCGCCTTCTAATCATTTGATTCGAGCATGGCAGCCACATGAAACAAACATCTGAACAAACCTCTTGACCATACGACCAACGGCAAGGTTCTTCACAAACCGACTACCCGAATTCCCCTGAGCCCTAACTCTATCCCAATGGGTCCACATATACAAATAACACCTACGTTGGGGGCTAAAGTCTGTAAATTCCACCTGCATACGGTTACTTTGTATCCCCTAAGCCTTATCCCAGAAGCCCGCCCTCTTGCAGATGCAAGAAAGTCTCGAGATCAAATTTCCACAAGCTTGACTTCACATCCAGCCTCGGCTAGCCCGACAGAGTTTCAGGGCATTTCGTTTGATGGAAGGTGGCATGATTGTTGATGGTCCCCAAACGCATACATTATAAAACACTCACCCACCCCTGAGCAACCCTAGACGTATTAGTGCTTAAGGGAGAGAGGGGGAGCGGATCCCTATACTAATCCCTCTATATAGCCCTAGAATGGCACCTAATTATATTCAAACCCCCCACTCCCCCATGAGCACCAGTGGGCAGGTTGTCGAGATTGTGGTCCCTTTTGATTTTTTTTTTTCGAAGTGCGGCACTTGATCCTTCCGGCAACCCAACAGAGACTATGGTTTTGACCACCTTCCATATGCGCTCACCAGACCTCTCGTTCAAATGCTACCTCATATCCCTTTGTCTTCAGCCCCCCATTCAAATTCCAAAGGGGGTAATCCAGCAGAGCCTCCGATCCTCAATGATATGTAGAATTTGGTTTGGTGGGCTCAATAATGTTAAGGTTCCGGGTTAGTTGTGAGGCGATCAAATTTTCAAAGGGGTAGTGCAGCAGAGCCCTTGATCCTCAATGATATGAACGATTCGGGGGGTCGATAATGTAAAGGTTTTTCGGCCGGCGCAGTGGCGACGCTATTTTCATTTTTTCGATTTCAAATTGATTTTAGAGAGATGTTCTATGAGCGTTTTCGATTCAAGGCCAGGCCTTGTACTATGAAGGCGGAGGACCCTGCCTTTCCTATCCTTTTGCAAGCATGAGTGAGTAAGTCCTTGTGAACGAGATAGAAGCTGAACATTTTCATAGTAGCCATAGGATCCCCCGGACCCCAAACTTGTTTTGAGGTCTTTTGATTTTCGGGGTTCCCCTTTCTGTTTGGGGTGCCAACACTAATCCGGCCCCCACTTTCTTAGGAACCCCAATATATGGACCCGTATTATATTGCTTCTAGCCCCAGTACATCCATCTGAGCAGCGTGCCCAACGGCTCGCCTAGCCTTTGGCGCTCCTCCCGAGCTGTTAAGGTGTCGGATTTAGGATCTAAAGACCTAAGCCCGCAACCCCAAACAGCCTATACCCTAAAGCTATAATTTCAGGATTGAGGGTTTTGGATTTGGGAGGAAGGGCTTCAAGCTTCAGAGTTGAGGGCTGAAGGCTGATAGTTTGAGGGTAGGGGATAGAGGTCGCAGAGCATGGATAAGGGCATTTGGGCTTCAAGTACGTTGGCGTTTTATTTTTTTGGCTGCAGCAACATTTGGGGTTGACCGGTCTTTTTGGCACAGAGCTGTTTGGGCCCTAGAGGGTGTGATGTAGAATGTAGAAGCCTAAAAAATGACCAATATCACTTCGAGGTCAGTTTGAAGCGCAATCTTGCAGTGAATTTACAACCAAAATCTTGGCAACTATCCCCTCCAGAATCCCTATATGACCCCAGTTACCATGTAATTCTGGGTTTGATGCTCCATTCTTTATTCCCTCATGAACCATCTCTCTCTCTCTCTCTGTCTCGCACGCGCCCCCCCCCTACAACCCCCTTACTTCGGCTTCTGCACTAGGCCTGGGTGGCTCACAGGAACACCCAACAACTACGCCTGAACTAAACTTACTAGTTCTTAGTAGGGAATGTGGGAACATATACATATGCATTTTCATGTCTTTATGTAGTGCTTAGGCTTTAGGATTGGTAGGGAAGAAAGGGCTCTAGTGACAATACCTATATAAGCCCTATAGCATACGTTCTCTTGTTCCCTACCAAGAACCAGTAAGTAAATTCACGCTTTAACTGCACAGGACGCGATCACTGCGAACTTTACCCTGGAGGGCCGCCCTTCCTTCAGCTTGGGGGTTATGTTTTAGGATGTAGGATTATCGTAGTTTCCATTTTCTTTTCCATTATCCCTATATAACCCCTCTTAGGGTGTGGGGCTTTGGGAGATGAGTACACATGAGCAAGGCCTCTCATTTTGTAGCTGCAGCGGGGCTGCTTCCCCTCCAACAAGGAGTTTCCATACAGGACCCCTATACCCGAAACAGCGATAGCTCTTGATATGAGTGCCTCCACTATAGTGTTGAACAACCTGAACCTACCTATCCTCACATACCCCCTGCATAATCTTGTGTGAGACCCCCTTTGAGGAGATTCGGCATTGTCTGAAACCCGCATCTATAGGTCTCCACTGTAACCGGCTGAGATTCCTGCAGCAGCCGCACGCGAGAGCTTCCCGCATGTGGCACGGCGCAGGACCTGACCGAAGACCCTTGCCTCTGGGTTAAGAGTTTGGAATTTGGGGTGTACGGGTTCAGGCGTTCAGGCCTTTGAATTTAGGGTTGCCGATTGCAACGATTGGAAGGGTGTTCTACCCGCCTGGGGTCACCTTGAAGGATTGTTTCATGGAACAAGATATTCCTATTTGTTCAGGCTGCTTGTGTGCAAAACGATGGTGCAGTGTATGTCAGCAACTTCAAAAAACTACCCTTATGTGCAAAACGCCTGTGCAGTCAACAAGCAAAATACTGTTTAGGGTTCTAGGCTTTAGGGTTTGCGCGTTCCAAAATGTGGACAGTTGTGAACGCCAAACTGTGCCCAGGCACATCACGAGGGCGCCGTCTTCGATGCGCATCTCACCCACCTTTGCCACCTTCTGGCAGGTGAGGGGAATTTTCCCATAAAGGGGTCATAGAGGGACATATGGGGATCAGGGTTTAGGGACGAAAGGCCCAACTATCTCTCTATCTATCTATCGGTCTATCTAACGGGTAACCCCTACAGTGGAGAATGACAGTCAAATGAAATTGAAGTTTGGACCCTCAGGCATTGTGCAATGTACCGCCCGAGGATTAAGGTTGTAGGTTGTCAATGCGAGTTAGCAATCCACGCCTGATGCATGGGGCAAGCCTTGGGGTTTAGGGAGTATATGGTCTAGGGTGTTATAGTGGGATGAGGGCGTAGTGTTTAGGGTTTCAGGTGTTATAGCGGGATGAGGGCTCGGGTTTTATGGTTCAGGCGGAATTGCAAAATTACCGCGTTGTAGAATTATGGGCTTGTAGCATTGTAGGATTGCAGGGCTGTACTATGATTGCGCATTGTGTTGTAGGATTTCAGTATTGCAGCGCTGTAGTATTGTAGAAGTAGGTTTGCAGGGTTATGGCATTGCAGAATTATGCTGATGTAGTATTATAGCACTTTAGATATCGCGTTGCAGTTTTTGTTGAGTCCAGGATTGTCGTAGGATTGTTGCAGAGCCGCTGAGAAGCGTAGGGCGTAGGTTTTCAAGAACTCAGGGAAAACCCTCAACGCTAAAACTTGCAATAAGCCTTCAGGGTCCCGGCTCAGATGCCACAATCGTGGACAAGGAAATGCTCAGCGGTTCCACGCTCCTATTCATCCTGTGATTTGAGCCCAAGATAACGACCCGTACAGCTGACTTGTGGGTTCAAAGTCAGGTTCGTCACCTGCTTCTGGGCAAACTGTGCCCTGGGTTGGCCCCTTAAAACCCTTTGAACAATATGTCCGTATCTGTGCATTAGGTAAAATATGAAATATACCCGTGGCCTAGCCAGTGCCAAGCGCGGTCTCACTTGACAAGGCCAGCGGCATCAAAGATCATGATTCTCTGCAATCATACGTATATGGATGCTTCATTGGCCCCAGACATCACTTCGGGATTTACACAGGATCATCGCCCTACATAAAATACTGAGATATCATCACTTAAGCATGTTTGCATCTCGCTTACAACAACCTGATGAGTGCTCCTAGAACCCTGTTTGATACCATGTGAAGGCTTGGCAAATCCATGGCCCGACAAGTCCACATACACTACCGTCCCAAATTACCCACAGGACATAATACTCAGTGACACCAGGGCCCAAGGCACGTACTATGTAGACTTGGACCCCGTGACAAAGGCCTGATATAGGCTATGTTATAGGATATACCTTAAATCCTAAACCCTCAACCCTAAAACCCTAAAACCCTGAAACCCTACACCCTAAAACCCTAAAACCCTAAAACCCTCCCTAAACAGTATGACTTGTTCATGCGACCTCCTTCACTCAGACTTCTCCCAAGCCGCCTCTTCGGGCAACGCCTGTGCGAAGACTTGGACCCCCAGCGCTGGGGGAACCTGGGCATCCGTTTTGGAAGACCCAGCCC